CCCCCCTGCGCCGCTAGGGCATTACAGTGGTGGCAGCGGTGGGATACCTCCACGCCCCCCTGCCACCAGGGCATTACACACCCAACCCACTATGACCCTGAAGATGGAGGCTTCATGTTTGTTGAAACATCGTCAACAAAGTCCAATTTCATGCAGTCCATGTACCCAAGAGCAAGATCAACATCAAAACTGAACCACCATGAAAGCTTAAAGTCAGTAATTCAATCTGCTCTTTACCTGTTTTTCCTTGTTATACAAAATGATATGGAAATGAACAGATGTGGTAAAGTGCTGTTGAAATGATTACAGTAAATTTTATTCGTTTTATATTCCTTGTAGGTAGCAGGGATAGCACAGTCGGTAGGGTGACTGGCTATGGGCTTGACAACTTGGGGGGGGGGTCAGAATTTGAGTCCCAGTGGGGTCAAGAATTTTCTCTTCTCCCTGTCAACCAGACCGGCTCCAGGGACTGTTTCCCCACGTGTAAAGTGGCTGGGACATGAAACTGACCACTCACCTCCAGCTAGTGCCAAGGTCAAGGAAAATGTGGATCTATATATCCACTTCCTCATACACCTTCATGGCATTGTATTTAATTAGTTGAGCATGGGACAACTTTTACCTTTTTATTCCTTGCTTTGCGCTATCATTTATGTTTAAAATATGAACCACCTACTTTCTACTCTGTTAAAATATTTGTTTCAGCAAATAATGTCATTTTTATGTAAAACTTTCTGATTTGACAGAACACCAAATACTACTCCTCTGACTACTTTCATGCAAACTCTCATTCCAAGTCATTGATTTGAAAATGTCTTCCCTACCTACTTTGGCACTGAAATCTCATACCAATTTTATTTTACAGCATTTAGGGAATTTATTGAATACACATTCTAGTTCTTCATAGAACTTATTCTTCATATCATCAATTTTATCCTCTGTTAGGTTGTGAACGTTCAGAAAAATGATATACCAGCAGCCTCTTGGTATTATGTATTACATCCTATTGCTGACAAACTCTTTCCTCTTAACTGCTGATATGATTCTCTTATGTACGAATAAACCTGTACCTAATTCATGATTCTAATTCCCCTATCTGTAGAAAAATTTATGTTCATCTGTTGGTTTGATGCCACCTTTGTCCCATCTGACCCCGTGTATTCCCACTGAATCTGACTTATGATTGTGATTAAGGTGTGACTGTTTTTTGCACATAATCTTGAACTCATCATTGTTTTTCATACCATTTGATGCTACAGTCTGAGGTATTGAGTATGTCATTAAACAGACAAACAACATTTACTTGTTAAGATAGGTGAAACCCATGGCAGTCTTGTGCTGCAAAGTGTGGTAATAATTCCCCAACAGATGGGAATTAGTGGTGCCCCTCTATTTACACAGTGTCCATATGACAAGTATCACTTCCTTTATTTTCCTGTTAGCGCTTGTCTACACCTGTGTGTGTGTGTGTGTGTGTGGGGGGGGG